TGGAGAGGTTTTTGCTCTCCAGAGAGAGAGAGAAAGACAGAGACAGAAAGCAAGAAATCACCCCCCAGGGGAGATGGCCACGCCGCAATCCCTTCTCCTCCATTTTCCTCTCGGGATCTTGGGCAGGCACGCACCCGTGCCCAGCGTGAGTTTAAGCCACTGGGTCCAGGACTCGAACCGCGGTCGACTATGAGAGTCCAGTGACATAGCCATTACACCAACTGCTGGTCCCTCCTCTGGGATCTTGAGCACACACACAAACGAGCCCAGAATGCATTTAAGCCACCAGGTCCAGGATTTGAACCGCAGTCAACTATGTGGGAGTCCAGCAACATAACCACTGTGCCATCTGCTGGTCCCCCCAAAAAACTCTTTAAAAAAAAAAAAAGATGCTTCTCAAAACAAAAACCAGGTAACTAATTCTGACAACGGTGTGAAAATCTGATTTCCTTAAGTCTAACAAGAAGATAGGGATAGCGAAAGACAAAAGAACTGAAAACTCCCAAACTTTCATGGCAAAAGAGTTACATGTAATTGTCCAAACCAAAGAAGATACATTAACAGCAGTTGATTGGTTAGGTCGAAAATAAAAAGTACAAGAATCTTAAACACATCCTGCACTTTCCCTCACTCAAGAGTATGCACTTCAATAAGTCCACTCCCTGAAATAGGAATTTGGCTATAACTAAACAGTCTAACCATATGAAAATGGCACTACACTGTACAGCTCAAGTTACAGTATCAGGGCAATTGATACTTCAACAGTAGCAATGGCTGGGAGACAGCAGGCCTGCATAGAAAGGAGACCTATAAAGGGGAGAAAATACAGGCAGAAAAAGAAACCTGATATATTTTTTTAAACGTAGAAACTGATTCTCTGGGAAGACAATGTGCAACACACTCAAATCAAATCAGGAAGATGCTCTCTCAAACAGGCCTTAATGCCTAGAACATCGTAAGGCCTCGAATCCTACAGTCCCGAATGCTGAGTACCTGCAAAAAGGGAAGGCCAAGCTTCAGCATCAGCTACCTGGGTGAGAGATGACCTGGATTCTCCTGCGAAGAGCAGCAGCCAAAGCTTAGCGGTGCGCGGAACACAGAATCCAGTTTTAGGCCCGGAGCAACTCAAGGGGCGATTAACCATTTTCCAGGAAGCCCGAAATCTCCGGATAAAAAGGACTTAACGTCTGGGAGAGCAGCTCTTCGGGAACCCACGGAAGAGACATGGGAATTCAAAGGATTTGGGGGGGAAGGGAGACGAAGCGGTGGAAACGAGAGTCAAAAGAAGCCTTCTCAAGGATAAAGTCATGTGACGTCGAAAACGGCTGCCCAAGGAGCTACGGGGACGGAGGACGGGTCCTAGGGACAGGCCCTTCACACCGAAGAGCGCGAGCGTCGGAGGAGGACCGACCCCGTGGGCGCCGCGTTCGGGGCCCCGCGGCCTGCAGCCGAGTGTCAGGCCACGCACCAACGTGGGACCACCGTGCGGGGGCACTGCCCGCGCGCGGGAAAAACGGCGGCCGGGCCGGAAGGGGGCAGGGCGAGCGGGAGGGCGCCTCGCGGGCACTTACGCGGCCGCTTCTTCCTGAGGCTTTCGACGCGCTGGCGGGAGACCGAGGT